TTCCACATGACAATGCTTCAAACAGTTGAAGACTATTTTCTCAAAGTTTTAAATTTTTGCAAGGCCAATATCCCATGCCGTTCGATAGTTTCTGATGTGGCGTGACTGTGAACAAGCTCAACACCCCACAGCTCTTGCTGGGTCCGTGCTGTTCACAGGGGTGGGGATGTCCTGGCTCCCAATGCTGTCCTCACCGGATGTGCTTGGCTCATGCAGAGCCAGGGGAATTAAGCTTTCTGTTGTTTTAGATACCTATGAAAATCTTTTTCATGTCCTTATAAAGTTAGTTTATGCATATACGAGTAAATATGTATATGTATTCTCACCTCAGTTTTTAGACTATTATGCTAGTTGTTCTGCATCTTGATTGTTTTAAAACTTAGCAATATATGTTGGAATTTTTCCCTATCAGTTCATAAAGAGCTTATTTGTATTAATATTTTTAATGGTTGCTTATTATTCCATTGTATGAATCTATCATACTTCGAACAATGTCTTATTGAAGGACATTTAAATTGTTTACAATATTTTGCTGTACAAATCATATGTATATATGTCATTTTTATAATTTTGTACATTTCCAACTTTATAATCATGGGATTCTCTAAACAGATACAGAAACAGCTCTTGATAAAGAACAGCACCGGCCGGGCGCGGTGGCTCACGCCTGTAATCCTAGCTCTCTGGGAGGCCGAGGCGGGCGGATTGTTTGAGCTCAGGAGTTCGAAACCAGCCTGAGCAAGAGAGAGACCCCGTCTCTACCAAAAATAGAAAGAAATTAATTGGACAACAAAATATATATAGAAAAAATTAGCCAGGCATGGTGGCGCATGCCTGTAGTCCCAGCTACTCGGGAGGCTGAGGCAGTAGGATCGCTTGAGCCCAGGAGTCTGAGGTTGCTGTGAGCTAGGCTGACGCCACGGCACTCACTCTAGCCAGGGCAACAAATGTGAAACTCTGTCTCAAAAAAAAAAAAAAAAAAAGAACAGCACCTATTGATGACAAGAATTCTTAGCAAACTAGGATCTCCTGACAACTAGCAAAAAGAATTAAAACTCAGTAGAAAAATGGGAAAATAATATAAATAGTCGATTCACAGAAGATGAAATCCTGAAGCTATAATCATAAAAAAATGCTCAAACTCATTGATCATTAGAAAAATAAACAATCAAACAACTCTGAGAAAGAACCTGATGTCCGTCGGATAGGTAAACATTACAAAGTTGGATCGTGACAAGTGTTGGAAGGCACAGGGCTTTGAGGAGCCCTCGTGCACTGCCAGTGGGTGTGATCGTGGGTGCAGCACAGTGCACAGGGTTGGCACACCTGCTGCCAGGCCCCGCGGCTGCCTGGAGTCAAGGACACAGAGCTGCTGCAGGATATGTGAGGGATCTGGGAAGAGCTGGGGAAGTCGGTGAGGGTCTGGAAAGGGGAGATTGGAGGTCAGAGAGCCGTCACTCTCCAAGTCAGCCTGAAGCCTGCTGGGGGTGGGGAGGGGGGAGATTGACTTTTGGGAAGCCGCATGTGCCTGGCCGCCCCTGCAGGCCTGCTGGTGGGCTTGGGCCGCTGTTGGTCAGAAGAGCCTTCCAGGATCTCACCTTACCGCACTGGCTGCAGCCTTCAGCACAATGTTGAATGCTAGTGGCATCAATGGGAGTCTTGTCTCATTTCTGATTTCAAAGGAAATCTTACAACATTTTACTATTAAATGTGATATTCAATGTAGATTTTTTTGGTAGCTCTCCTTTATCAGATTGAGGAAATTCCCTTCCATTCTTTATTTTTAAAAATCATAGATACTGATTTGAACAAAGGCTTTTCTGGAAACTATTGAAGTAATTAAATAATTTTCCTCTTTAGTCTGTTATTGTGGAAAATTATATTGATTGTATGTTTCATAGTTTCTAGTTTTATGCAGAAATTCTCAATCTTAATTTTTAAAAATTTCTTTGTATGTAGTAAACTTAGATATTTTAAAGTCTATCTTCTTTCAGTATCCGAAGCCCCCATGAGTCTATTTACATACTCTATTTTCCTGCTGGTTATTGTATATGTCTTATTTTCTTATGTGCCTGGTTATTTTTGCTTATGAACTATATATTATATTTATAATATATTTAAAAGAAATAATTGGAGACTAAAGATGATGTCATTTTCCTCCAGAGAGGATTTGTGTCTATTTCTGCCAGGTACCTGGTGGCACTAACACCCAAGGTTGCTTGAGGGCAGTACCACTCCAGACAGCTTTGACCCATGTTCAGTGACTGACATAACTTGGAGCTGAGCTGCAAACCCTGCATGGGCCTGTCTAGTCTGGTTCACCCTCACTGCCAGGGTATATTCTTTGAGGTCCCAGTGTAGGCAGCTCTATTTGGTAAGTCCTGGATCCTAATTCCTGCCCATAGCTCATGAACGCATCAAAAGCATCTCTCAGCCTCTCAGCTCCTCTCCTGAGTTGGTGAATGCCCCCAGAAGTCAATCTAAATACTGGGCCCATCTCCTTGGCTTCTGCTTCCCTCCAACCCCCCAATCCTCACCTGTTTTGTTAACTTCGATGGCTTCAAAAAGAAGTTTTTATATTTTGTCCAACTTTTTTGTTTTCGGTAGAAATGTTAGTTTGAATTATTTAGCTTGCTGTTACTGGGGGTGGAAGTCTTTGATTTTCTAATGTTAAAACCAGCCTTGCATTCCTGGAGTAAGCCTGATTTGGATGTGATTTATTATCTTTTTTTATTTATTGCCGGATGTGAATACATCCCTAATATGTGCTTTCCAGGATCATGTGAAGAGAAATAATGGTAGAAAGGCTAGAAACCAAGAAGAGCCCTTGGCTAAACGTGGATTTCCCTCATGCTGCCTTGAATTTGCCACCCGACTGGCTATACTGCCAGAATTCCTGGCGGAGACGTCTATCTGGCTCACCAGACTCCTCTCTGCAAGCAGAAAACCCATGGCAGCGTTGAGGGGCCCAGTCATGAGCCCTAGTTAGTTAACAAGGCTATTTTCTTTTTAACACTCGACAGGACTCAGCCCCACGCAAAACATAAAATTGTTCACGGAAGAAGGAGAAAGACCAGTCATTTGCAAGAATTTTTCCCAAAACCAGGTTGGGCAAGGCCACAGAGTAGAGAGATCAGGAGAGCTGGCCAGTGGAGCAGCTCAAAGGCAGAGCTCAGACCCAGGAGAGCAGGGCCTTTGGGCTCTGTTCAAACTTGAGGTGTGAGTTTCCCTGAAGGCAGCTCGGGGGCCTCCTGAATACACAGAGTGTTTACCGCCAAGAGCCCAGTGCACCTGGAGACCACAGCCCGCGCTCCACGTCGGCAATACCTCCGCAGTGCTGGCGACTGCCCTGCAGTTGTCACCACGTTTCTCCTCGAAAGGGCGCTGGAGCTCTGGAGAGCGAGCCAGGCCCCGAGAACAGGGAGACACAGCAAGAGGCACGAAGCAAGCTGATATATTTTATCTGGAGAATGCCTGAGCCAAAGCCAGCTCCGGGTCAAACACTGTGCACGTTATCAGAAAACCAGGCCGCCGGGAAGCGGGTCCAAAGAGGGCGATCACGGTACCATTTCTTCCTTTTGGCTCCTGGACTACTGGATGTAGCAGGTCACCCAGTACTTTGGAGAAAGGGGGTGTGGGGGACATGGGAGCCAGGGAGAGCGCGGCACACTTTCTACAGGGGCAGTGCTTCCCGGGGGCAGCTCCACTCTGGGCTCTTTTAATACCCCTTTTAATACCTCAGGACCTGAGGAAGGTCCCGAGCGCAGGAAATGACCAAGGTTGGGAGCCCCAGCAGGATGTGGGGAACTGCCACTGGGAGAGGGCCCTGGCCAGGCCACCCGCAGACCTCCCCTGGGGTTGCCAGCCCCTCAAGAAAGGCAGGCTAGTGAGCCCTGAGGAGGGGTCTCCTCCCACACTGACCATCCCATTTCCAGCACCTTCAAAGCATTCCTAGGGTCTGGAATAAAAAGAGAATACAGCTGTCAGAGCAGAAATTTTTCATGGGTCCCACCTAAGTTATTGTTTGAGGAACACAGGAAGAAAATGGAAAAATCAGCTTATACCCTGATTTATCTGAGAGAGAAAAATAAAAATAAAAAATACAGCATTATGCTTATTTGCTTTCAGGTCTAAGAACTCAGAAAATATTCAGTCATTCCCACCAGTAATAAATGAAATACTCCATCCTATCAGGCTCAGCCCAAAAAGGTATCTTTAATGGTGGGATTTCAAGTGTTAGCAAGCCTATAGGGGAGATTTTGGGGGGTCAGCGAGCCCATCCAATGCTCTGGACCCCTCCAAGGGGACCCCCACCCTGCATTTGGACTAGAATTGCGGATTGAGCCATGTAGTTCCTGCTTACTCCGTGTCAGGATCTCTGACCCTCCTTCCCTGCCACAGACAAAGTCTCAGTTCTTTCCAGTTCTTCTTTTTCTCTAAGACCCACACTCGCCCTGCCCCACTAAGGCTCTCCGCACTCAGACCACTGTGGGGCACACTGTCCTGGTCCTGTGCTCCCTGGTCAGGGCTCAGAGTACCCAGCTGCAGCTGGGCTGGCCTCTGGACAATGCCCTGTCCCCAGAAGGCCCAGCCCAGCTGCCACCCTTTTTGTTTGTTTGTTTTTAAAGAATGCCGCCTTGATCCTGCTACCTCTCCCATGCTAAGCAAGTGGCTCCACCATTTGAGCTAATTCCCCACCCTCGGAAACAGGTTTTGGCTGTAAGTGTAATGGTATTTGCTCATATGTTTGGCAGACACAGGCTTTTAGTTTTTCTCTAAGTTTTTTTAATATGAAAATCTTAAAAAAATTTACTGAAGCATAATGTATACACAGAAAAGTGCACAAATTATAAGCATACAGCTGAATAAACTATCATAAAGTGAACTTACCAATGTAGCTATCACCCAGCTCAAGATAAAGGACAGATAAACTTAGTCTGAGACATCTTGCCACCAGCCAGAGGAAGGTGCCTTAACCAGCTGTCTCTGCTCTTCTGCAGGCCCTGCCATCCCGGTGGGCGTGGACGTGCAGGTGGAGAGTCTGGATAGCATCTCGGAGGTGGACATGGTACGCAGCGCCCCTGGTGGGGCGGCCTCAGGAGGGACGGTGTGGGCCGAGTGCTGTGAGAGCCTGTGGCTGGGCGGGCCTCGGCGGTGCAGGCTGCGCTGTGCGGGCAGAGCGGGAGCTAAAGCTGACAAGATGGGGACTTGGAAGTTGGCTCAGGTGCAGGGAAATCTAGAGTGGGGGTCTTCAAGCTTCACAGCCAAAGATAACTTGAGGGGCTGGTTAAGTGCAGATTCCTGGGCTCCAACACACACGTCCTAATGCAGAATCTCGGGGAGCGAGGGCCAGTGCTTTGCATTCTGAACACCCCACTCAAGAGATGCAAGTGCTCAGAGGAACCACACTCGGAGGAGTGCTGGAGGGGGCAGTTTGAGGCTGAAATTCTGCGGTTCTTTGACTCTCAACTCCTGCCGTAGCGCAGCTCCCCAACTCCTTGGCACTCCAGGTCTACCCCAACTTTACCACTGCACGCACACACACCCTGGCTGTCCTGCAGAGACTACCCCCTCCCCGCCCCCATCCCCATCTCGTCCTCCTCCTGTGCACTTCTCTTCCAGTTTGCAGACATCCTCTTTTGTCTGCCTTAGGAACCATGACCATGCTCTTGCTCTGGCCCTCCCCACAGCTGTGTCCTTGTCCTTTAGGTCTCAGCTAAGATGAACCTTCTTCAAAGAGGCTTCCCTGACCTCCTGACCCAGAGTTTCTGTTTTTCCTTCATATCCCACATCATCATTTATAATTATGCTATATATTTATTTTGGGGGTTTCTTGCATATTGGTCGTCTCCCACAAAACTATAAGCTCCATGAGTGCAGGGACTTGTCTTTTATTTTTTACTCCTGTATCTCCTCTGGGGACCCTCAAAATGTGTGTGGAATGAATGAAAGTGGGGGAGGCTCCCCTTCCCCATGGCAATGCTGTTGTGTGCCCTTGAAGGGTGGAGGCTGCCCTGGCTCCTGACGGACCCAACACAACAGAGCTGGTATGATTGATACTGATGCTGTGCACCCTATAGCCCCAGCGCCTGGCAAAAAATGGGGTCATGCAGGTATGACAGTTTCCAAGCTGCGAGAGTGTACACTGCCTGCCCCTTTGGATGTCCAACATCTGCGTCCAGTTGCAGAACCAGGTGGGTCTGGGACCAGTCTGGTTGCCTCAGACCTGAGCCAACCCAGGTGTCCGCTCTGGGTGTGAAGACTCTCCTGTTGCATGTGGCTCAGGACTCCAGGAAGAGGTATCCAGAATGACTTGCCTGTCTTAGAGCAGCCACTAACCAGTGGGAAATCAGGCAGACTCCAGCACAAAGAAGGTGGGATGTAGATAACATCCAAGCTGGTCATACATGGCTGGTGTTTGTGAGCCCGCAATGTGGCACTTCCCCTGGGCGACCTCTCCCAGAGCATGCTGTCCACCTGCATGCCCCGGAGGGGAAAGAGCCAGAGGGACACTTGGTTGATTTCTTCCTACTCCTGTATTGGCTGCTCTCCTTGTGGGTGGAAGGCGTGTTCCTGGCAGATACTGATGCCCTGGGGGCCGGGACCAGTCTAGGTCAGACTCTCATGTAGGCACAATCTCAGTGCCCATTCTGTCCTCCCTTCCTGGGGCTCCCTCTGGGCCTGCCACCACCATGCACTCTTCCAATCCTTTCTCCACCTGCTCCCAGAAGAGGATCTTTTGGGCAGTTATTTTCCCATTTGCTCCTTGTGCCTTAGCTCTGGTGTGGAGAAGGGCCATACTCTTGGTTTAAGGCAACAACTGTGCAGGCAAGGAGACACTCTTTAACGGGACAAGCTTTTTGGCTGAAATTATAGTAGGTATACGGTTGTCCATCCCCTCATCCATTATGCCCCACTTTCCAATACAGCAACGATTTACTCAATTGTACTCAATTCAGTGGTGAGTGGGGATTCAATGGTGGACAGGACACATTTTTTGCCTCAAGAATCTTACAAGTCTAATGGTAGAAACCCTCCTAAGAGGGACACTTGATTGTCCAGGTTCCGCAAGTGGCCACTAAGCTGAAGTGGAATGGTTAGCTGGCGGGTAAGGAACCATGGGTGCAGAGGCCTAGGTGAGCGAGAGCAGGGCTTCGGGGAAATCCTGCCCTGTGGGCCACCAGAACAGGCTGTCGGCATCACAGCTGCAGTTTTCATTTGCAAGGACTGAAGGGCTGGTCGCTCAGTCTCCTGGGCTCCAACCTCACGATGCATAAAAATGAGCCATTCTCCTTCTGATTGCAGCCGTGGAGCTGCAGAACTGTTCCCTCCGACTCTCGAGGCTGAGCCCGAGATGCCCAGTACAGTGGTGGGTGGGGAGTCGATTGTGAGGAAGGAGGCTTCTAAGCCATTTCTGTCTGGTCTCGCCCCTGACTCCCGTAGGACTTCACCATGACCCTGTACCTGCGGCATTACTGGAAGGATGAGAGGCTGGCCTTCCCCAGCACCAGCAACAAGAGCATGACCTTCGACGGCAGGCTGGTGAAGAAGATCTGGGTCCCCGACGTCTTCTTTGTCCACTCCAAAAGGTCATTCATTCACGACACCACCACTGAAAACATCATGCTGAGGGTGTTCCCGGATGGCCACGTGCTGTACAGCATGAGGTAGCTGTCCAGGGGTCATTGGTCCTTTGTCCAGTGCCATTCCAGTATGCATGGTCAGTCCCTTTGACACTGAAGAGTCTGTCACTGTGCTTGGGTCTGTGGGCTGTATGGGACGGTCTGGGCCTTCTGCTGCCAGTCAGAACTGCCTAAACATGAAATGGCCACCCCCGTAGGTGGCAACTTCCCCATCACTGGGGGTCTTAAGTTTGGATCAGAAGACTACTTTGGCCTGAACAAGTTGATGGAGACAATGCCCTCGTATGACTGTACCTTTCATCCCTGAGAGCCACGATTTTAGTTGATTGGTAATAAGGATTTTACAAAAACACCAATGGCTACTGATTATTGGGTGCTACTGCAGATGGGCTTTGGGGCTAACTCGAGTGACTGAAGCAGTCTATTCCACATCATCCTGGCCTGCTTGTACAGTTCACCAGAACTAAATGCTACTACCAGACACTTCCTGGCCTAGGGAAGGGTGGGGAGGGAGGGGAGGCCTAACCTCCAGGCATCTCTGGGGGAGGTGGCCCTGCCCAGAGGAGGGTGCAGGCGTGAGCTGCTAGCAGCTGATGCCCCCTGTGGCTGGGGGAGGGGCACGGCTCACCAGCCCCTTGAAGGGGACCTGGCAGCGCACTAATAATCTGCTACAGAAGACAAAACCCTACAAATGAAGGTTCTGTAACTTAGATACCTATGTTTCCAAACTTCGGAAGTAGACGTGAGGAGGCAGCTGCTCTTGGTTGCAGGTGCGTGAGCCAGTAACTCGCACAAGCCGACGTGTGTGTTTGGGTTGTCTAGGATTACGGTCACTGCCATGTGCAACATGGACTTCAGCCACTTTCCCCTGGACTCCCAGACCTGTTCTTTGGAGCTGGAGAGCTGTAAGTATCAGCTTCCCTAATGCCTTCACTGTATTCCCTCTGCGACCTCTGTGCCATTTTAGTCACCGTGAGACAGCGCCGCCTGCCAGTGTCAAGGCCTGTTTACTCCTAGACCAGCGTAGGAGTTCCCTGTTGCTTCACCCTGCATCAGAAGCAAAGGGGTCAAATTAACTTATTTTCCTCTCCCCAAAGATGCATATACAGATGAAGATCTGATGCTGTATTGGAAGAATGGGGACGAATCCCTGAAAACAGATGAGAAGTTCTCCTTGTCCCAGTTTCTGATCCAGAAATTTCACACAACTTCCAGACTGGCCTTCTACAGCAGCACTGGTAGCTGACTTTCAAATGTGAAAAAAAAAAAAAGCACATTTGAATTCTTCTTTAGCCTTAACCCTAAGGGAAAGAAATTTTGATTACTAAAATAATGCATAGTCCCCACAAAATACAAGTAGCACTTAAAAGCAGAAAGCAAAGAGTAGAGAAGTTGCCGTCTCCTGAAATCCCATCACCAGAGGGAATCACTCCCCACAATTTAGGAAACACTCGTCAAGACATCTTGCTTCAATTGTGTAATTTTACAAAGTCGGGGTCATATTTTGCATGCTATTCTCTAAGTAGCTTCATTCTGCTGAACACTATGGATGGATAGCTTTCTGAGGAAATGTATTTTAGTACCTCTATTGAGATCTATAGATTTATTTTTAATGCTTAGTGTAACCTCTTTTCAGACCGTGGGCCAGGTTTGAAGTTTTGAGAGGATCAATTTATCGGGCCATCTCTAATCTCACCATTAACTCCCGTGTTAGTTTCCTAGGACTACCCTTAACAAGGTTCCACCAACTAGGCACTTAACAGAGATTTATTCTCTCACGGTTCTGGATGCCAGAAGTCCAAAGTCCCTGCTCCCTCTGCAGGCTCTAGGGAGGAATCCTTCCTGCCTCCTCCTGGCTTCTGGTGGCTGCCAGCAATTCTCGGCATCCCTTGGCTTGCAGCTGCGTCTCTCTGATCTCTGCCTCCATCATCACATGGCCTTCGTCCTGTGTCTGTGTCTTCACTTGGTGTTCTCTCTGTGTGCCCACATCCAAATTTCCCTCTTCTGTAAGGATATCAATCATTGAAATCAGGCCCCCACTAAGCATCTTGCCTTGATTACATCTACGAAGACTCCATTTCCAAATAAAGTCACATCCACAGGTACTGGGAGTTAGGACTTCTCACACAATGTCCCTTTAATTAGCAGGTGATCACTGTGGGTCTCCACGTGTGCGGGCTGTGCTAGGGCCTGAGGGGGATAGAAATATGCTCAGCTTCGGTTCCTGCCCTCAAGGATTTTCAAGGAACTGAGCAGAAGTCCCATCACATGGAAATGCTCAAGATATGCAATACTGTATATGTGAGTGCTAAAGTGTCCATCTGTGTAGAGTGAATGATTTAGGTTCTGGAAAAGAGAGACCTAAATCGCGATTGGCTAGAATGACTAAGGCCGGCCTCCTGGAGGAGTTGAGTGCAAGCTGGACAGGTGGGCGGGGAGAGAAGAGGCTCAGAGATGGGAGTGAGCAGTGTGGGTGGAGGCCTGTGACCTCAACCTGGCTGCACATGAGGATCCCCTGGGAGCTTTATGGCGAGGTTCTGATTCAATCATTCTGGGCAGGGGACCTAGGCAGGGGAACGTTTTAAAAGTTCCCCAAGTTCATAGCAGCACGATTCATAATAGCCAAAAGGTAGAAACAACCCAAGTGTCCATCAACAGATGAATGGAAAACTAAAATGTGGTTATATACACAATGGAATATTATCCAGCCTTGAAAAGGAATGAAATTATGATTCACGATACAATGTGGATGAATCTTGAAACCGTTATGCTAAGTATAATAAACCAGTCGCAGAAGAAAATATATTGTTTGATTCTGCTTATATGAAGTACCTAAAATAGGCAAATTCACAGAGACAGAAATAGTATGCAGGGTCCCAGCAGCTGCGGGGAGGGGAATGGAGAATTACTGTTTAATGGGTGCAGAGTTTTTCTTTGGGATAATGTATAAGTTCTGGAAGTGCATAGTGGTGGTGGTGTACAGCAATGCGAATATACCTAATGCCAATGCCTCGTACACTGGCCTGGGCACTGGAGACCCATGTTGACCTAAGCTCATCCGTGACTCAGTCTGAGATCTTGGAAAAGCCTCTGAGAGTCCCATTTCCTCATGTCCCCAGTGTCAGACTTTAGAATCTGGTGACAGCTTGCTTCTTCTTGCAGTGGATGTACAAATCCTGTGAGTGTCCAATCTCACAATAAAGAGGACAGGGTTGCGAGCCCAGCTCTCCTGGCTCCTGCCTCAGTGGTACTGGCCTCAGTGAGGCAGAACCACTCCAACTGCTTACACTCTTGAGCTTTGAGTCACTCTGGAAACATGCTTGGAGTTTGCAAGTAGCAAATAGCAAACAAACAACTAAAACTATACTTCTGTTTAGTTCTACCCTTCCTCAAATGCTGTGAAGAAGTTAGATAATATCTAATAAGACAGTCAATGTACAAGATGATATTAGCAAGCGAGAGGGCTTAGATTGTAAGGTATTATATTAAGAAAAAAGAAAAGAAAGGTATTATATTAAGCCAATTGCTCATGAATTTTGACCTTCTGTTGCTGATGAGAGCAATGTCAGGGGAAGAGGGGCTTCCAGGGCAGGAGTTTGTTTTTAATCTCTCAGGTGGAAGCTCACTGGCTTCTCCTGCGTCCCCCAGGCTGGTACAACCGTCTGTACATTAACTTCACGCTGCGTCGCCACATCTTCTTCTTCTTACTCCAAACCTATTTCCCCGCCACCCTGATGGTCATGCTGTCCTGGGTGTCCTTCTGGATCGACCACAGAGCTGTGCCTGCCAGAGTTTCACTGGGTAAGAGCATTTCATAAGATGTGGTAGGGTGGCTATTTTTTTAAACTGATCACAGTATGAAGAAAAGTACAGTCCTTATTCAGGATTCTGAACTGACGAGCTGTCAGAGTTGGAAGGAGCAACTTTTCTGTCTGCTTCTTGCCTTCCCCATTCAGACACTGGCCGGTTTCTTCCACCACATTATGAGAACCACAGGGAGCTAAAACTTCATCAGCTTTGACCGCATCACTTTAGATGGCCTATTTGGGGTACAGATGTCCACGACTGGCAGTATCAGAGCTCAGTACTTAGATAAATAAGATGATTCTGCCAATGCCAACAATTTATTCTGTACATACAAAAACTTCATTTGCTGGCCTCGTTTAGACAGACTGAGGGCTTGGAGGCAGGGCCCACAATACGTGATTTCTGGGAAGGGGAGGGCTGCATTCCCTGGAGCTGTGGTTTTGCCCTTCACAGACCCTGAATTCCAGAGTGAAAGCTTACAACTCATCATTGTAAATTTGGACAAAATTAGGTTGGGCTTTGAGAAATGTGGGGGTTTAACCAGCAAGAAGGCAGCGTGGAGAAGAAACTAGCACGATGGGCTTCTGAGAATTGCCACAGCCTTCATGGACTTAATAAACATGGCTTAGATGAGGGGGCATGGCTTCATTCCTTGAGGTTTGGGAAAGTTGCTTTAGAGATGTCCTTTAGTCTCTGTCTTTAATTGCACATCCGAGCAGGTCCTTTCCGAAGCATGCCTGACCTTGCCAGCCACGTCACAGACAGCCGGTCTCTGAGGGGCTTGAAGTGAAAGGAGAGGGGCAGCGAGCTGGGGGGCGGGAGCAGAGAACAGGCCCAGCTGCTGGTGCAGCAGATCCTAGCACCGTGTCTGGGGATTTTCTCGTTCAATTTAAGAGACAGAAAATGTAGAATTGCTGCCTAGGAAGCTGTGGGGGGCATTTCTATACCACTGTCAGCAGCTGAACTAAGACTGGGTGTTGCAGGTATCATGACGGTGCTGACCATGTCGACCATCATCACGGGCGTGAACACCTCCATGCCCCGCGTGTCCTACGTCAAGGCCGTGGACATCTACCTCTGGGTCAGCTTCGTGTTCGTGTTCCTCTCGGTGCTGGAGTACGCGGCCGTCAACTACCTGACCACGGTGCAGGAGCGGAAGGAGCAGAAGCTGCGGGAGAAGGTGGGAGGGTTTCCTCGTTCCCTTGTCAAAGCCCTGCTGCGGGTTGGATGAAAAGGAGAACGTCAGCGGGGCAGAGCGCTCACTGCGGTTTGCATGTAGAGAAAGGAGATGTTGATGCAAAAGGAGGAGGATCCACTTTAGAACAGGTTCCAGCTTCTACCACAAAGGATCCCAGAAAGCAGAAAGTCTTTGGACAAAGACTGGGAACGGAAAGACTTGGGTTCTTAGACCCAACTCTGTTACCTATGCTGGGCCTCAGTTTCCTCATCTGTAAAAGAGGGATAATAGAACCCTGACCTCCCAGGGTTATTGTAAGCATCACATGGATAACATATGTGAAAGTTGTTTTGAAACTGTAAGGTTCTAGACACACACAAACTATCACTATTATTACTGAACATGTCTAGAGAAAATGCCTCCCTGTCCTATGACCAGAGAAGTGGAAAGTTCTAGAATAAAAAGCTCCTTTATTCATCACTGCTTTGGCCTAGTGAAATTCAGCCACATTAAAGACCAAAGATAAATATGTTGTTTTTATTTATTGGAAATACTTTACTGCACTATACTACAGCTGGCCCTTGAACAACATGGAAGTTGGGGTGCCAACTCTCACACAATTGAAAATACAAGTATAACTTTTGGCTCCCACAAAACTTAACTACTAATAGCCTACTGTTGACTGGAAGCCTTACTGATAACATAAACGGTCCATTAATACATATTTTTTCTACTATATGTATTATAGACTATATTCTTTCAATAAAGTAAGCTAGAGAAAAGAAAATGTTATTAAGAAAATCATAAGGAAGAGAAAATCTATTTCCTATTTATTAAGTGGAAGTGAATCATATTAATAATAAAGGTCTTCATCCTTGTCATCTTCATATTGAGGAGGAAGAGGAGGGGTTGGTCTTGCTGTCTCAGGGGTGGCAGAGGCAGAAGAAAATCTATGTATAAGTGGATCTGTGCAGTTTGAAACTGCATTGTTCAAGGGTCAACTGTATACTGTGAGATAGAATGCAAATGGGAAATTTTACAAAGCAATGTTCATGGGCCTTTGGCACAGGGAGGGAAAGTCTATTTCATTCATATTCAGACTCTTACTAATCACGGTAAGAAATAAAGAATGCCAACTTTGCTAATCAATGCACTAATCAAAATGAGTGTTCCTAAAAGGTGTAGAGATCAAGGGACATGAAAATCCCACATTTATGCATATCTGGCTGGTTGTTAGTCCCTTAGCATAAGGGAGCTTTAAATTTTAGGAAAAGAGGATATATTGCCTTTTCAAAAATAGTTCTTCAGTGACCACATTACACCTGTCAAATATTTCCATATTATCTGCAAATAAACTAGACTGTGTAAGAATTTATTTTAAAACTATTCAAACCTTTTTTACTTCAGCATTTGACTACTCAAGTTTT